ACATGACATATGTTATATAACAAAACATGACACATGAACTATATAAAATGACATAACATATGTTATAACATGACATGACATGTTATATAACATATCATGACACATGTTATATGACATGACATGACACATGTTATATAACATAACATGACGCATGATATATAACAACATGACATGACATATGTTATATAACTGACATGACGCATGTTATATAACCTAACATACCACATGTTATATAAAATAACATATGTTATATAACATAACACATGATATATAACATGACATGATATACTTTATATAACATAACATCACACATGTTATATAACAACATGACAAGACATATGTTATATAACATAACATATGCTATATAACATAACATATTTTATATAACACATGTTATATAACACAACAGCACACACATGACATGACAGATGTTATATAACATAACATGAAACATCACATGATATATGTTATATAACATAACATGACACATGTTATATAACATAACATGTTATGACAACATGACATATGTTATATAACATATCATGACACATGTTATAACTTAACATGACATGACATATGTTATATAACATATGCATAACATGACATGTTATATAACATAACATGATACATGATATATGAGATAACATGACATGACATATGTTATATAACATGACATGACATATGTTATATAACATGACATGACGCATGTTATATAACATAACATGTTATATAGCATAACATAACAGATGTTATATAACATAACATGAGATATGTTATATAACATATGCATAACATGACACATGTTATATAACATAACATGACACATGTTATATAACATGACATGACACATGTTATATTACATAACATGATACATGATATATGTGATAACATGACACATGTTATATAACATAGCATAACACATGTTATATAACATAACTTGACACATGTTATATAACATGACATGTTATATAACATAACACATGATATATAACAACATGACATATGTTATGTAACATAACATTGCATATGTTATATAACATAACATCACACATGTTACATAACATAACGTATGCTATATAACATAACATATGTTATATAACACAATATGACATATTATATAACATGACAGAACACATGTTATATAACATAACATGAAACATCATATGACATATGCTATATAAGATAACATGACACATGTTATATAACATAACATGAAATGACATATGTTATATAACATGACGTGACACATGGTATATAACATAACATATGTTATATAACATAACATGACACATGTTCTATAACATAACATGACACATGTTCTATAACATGACATGACATATGTTATATAACATAACATGACCCATGTTATATAACATAACATGACCCATGTTATGTCATGTTATATAACATAACATGACACATGTTATATAACAGGACATGACATATGTTATATAACATGACATGACGCATGTTACATAACATAACACATGTTATATAACATAACCTGTTAGATAACATAACACATGATATATAACAACATGACATGACATGTGTTATGTAACATAACATTGGATATGTTATATAACATAACATCACACATGTTATATAACATAACGTATGCTATATAACATAACATAACATATTAAAAGAGTGCGACCCAAAGCTTCCAATTTACTAGTTGATTTAATTGAGGCTCCTTTATCTTTAAAATAATACAGGTCAGAATCATCAACACCTTTTTGTTTAGAAAATCTGAGGAAACACACTTAGCCCCTTTGACCCACTTGGCGAAACATACGATTTTAGCCAAATTCAGTGGATTAAATCTCAAAAGTGGCTCACACTTACAGACTCTCCTGCATATCATTGTGTAGTTCAGTCCTTCAGCTACTGAATCCTGTTAAAAGTTTTGGCGGCATCCAGTTTCGGTCGAGGGGTGAGTGGCGAAATTTGCCTTACTTTGCTATTTCACAGGCGTTTCGCCATCGTGAAGTGCAGAAGGATTGTCAGAATAGAAAGCGAGAAATCAGGTATATGCCACTCGAAAATTGTCCATTCCTAAAGACTGCATACTTTCAATCACGACTGTTTTCTATGTGGCTGTGGTTTTAACCAGACGAATTGAAGAAGAGAGAGAAGGCGGTGAACGTGAGTTTATTTACTGTCGGCCTTGTTTTTGTAGGGTTTGTGGAACGCGTGGGATCTGGAATCCGGAATGCAGAATTCGCAACCCTTTTCTTTTGTTATTTGTGGAAAATCATTTCGCATTTACAATATTTTTTTGTTTCTCTTTTTTTAAAATTATAGAATATTAAGCGGGAAGTCTCAGAGGTCTTCTTAGCCTGCTCTAGGCAATAGGGGGATTCCCTATCCAAACTGTCACTGCTGTTGAAAATGTCTCAATTTAAATATTTTACTTCTTAAGGGGAGATATCTGAAAGATAAATTATGATTCA